TGTTTAATTATGCGAAAATACTTTATCAACAGGGTTCAGGGTTTCCTGTTGACTACCTCCAACCACCATCTAAATCTCAATACATAGTGCCCTCAGTGTCGAGTTACCTAGACTGGTGGCCACATTGCAACATGATCGGTAGCATTCGATCTGCACTAATAAGAACTAGACAAGCATGACATTGATCATCACCCAGTGATCAATCAATTGTGATTACATCTCAGTCCTACAGGAGGTCGGTCGCGACTCGGATAGCTCAGGAGTAACGTCTCTGACTGTGAAGCTGGGTGACACGAGATCGAATCCGCCAGGGAGCACCAGTTCCTTCAAGATTACAGGTACACCTTGCTGACTAATGCGAAGTAGCACGAAACCTGGGTCCAGAGTTTTGTGTTGACTACCTCCAACCACCATCTAAATCTCGAAAATACTTTATTTAACTGGTTTGACAAAAATAGGTAATTTTTAGGAGGAATATTTCAAGAAATAATTCAATTGAATATGTGACCGACAAATAATAATATATTCTAAAAATTACGTTTCACATTACTATACCTCTTGTAGTTGTCTTCTTTCATAAAACCACTACATCTCATGGTATTCGAGCCCATAGAATATAGATGAAATAACAACTGATTTCATACAGAACAAACTCTGAAATTTTAGAGGTCACTGATTTGAACAGAAACACATCGATTTCGTCATACATCCCTACACAGTTCATTGTCCTTCATATCAACGGATAAGGAAAATATTAACCACTTATTCAGTCGAAAAGTTATGTAATGTATGAGTTACGTTCAACGTTCGAAAAATGTTGGAAGTTAGACACTCAGGTCGACTACATATATGTAAATTTGGTGACAAATTTCTATTTTATCAAACAAGTTTGTTTACATACAACTATGATGGTTAACCGAAATTTCAAAAATGACAAGTCAACATTACCTGTTAAAGCACATGATATTATTACGAATATCTTTACTAGAGCTTGCAATTTTCTCAACAATTTCAATTGACTCATGATTTCAACAATTGAAATTACTAAAATCTCCACAAAACCCCTTCTGATAATAATCATCTGCTCATTAGTGATTGACTTCAAGAGATACTCCTGGAGTTCTAGTGAGAAGCTGTTACCAGTAGAGTTCAATCAGGTCTCTTGTGAGATATCGACTCACTGAGGACAATGGTGGACGGTGGCGCAATTTCGTGGATTGGTTGAAGTTAGACATTAACACCATTGGATGCCGGCTCAGTGGTCTAATGGTTAGGCGCTCGCGCGCGAAACTAATAGGTTCTAGGTTCGAATCCCACGGGGGGTCGTGGATGCGCGCTGCTGAGGAGCCCCATACTGGGACAAAACAACCATCCAATGCTTCCAGGTTTTCCATGGTGGTCTAGCCTCAATTGACTCATGATTTCAACTATTGAAATTTCAGAAGTATTCATCATGTCTGTGACTTTCTGAGACAGATATTTCCTACAGAAGCATTCATTCTCAAAATCTGCACCCAATCTAACTTGTTTAATACATCACAACTGTGTAGTTCAATATATTCATATCAGTTCTTTTTATTAAATGCACTGAGATGTTACAGTATCACAGACAATATGATATATTATTATATTACACTAAATTAACTAGATGAATAAGGAATTATGCCCTTTCATAGTGTTCCATTCCTATTCAATACTTCATTCATGTAATGTATGAAACTCAGTAAGATATCAAGGTGATGCCTTTTTCTTCCAATTGATAATCGACCAGAAACTCGAAAAGAAAATCGTTTATTTGTGATAACTGATATTTTTCTTCTTTATATGACAGTATGGATATATGCTACAGAAAAACAAGAAAAAAATGCTGATACTTATCATTAATGTAATATTGGACATCCGAATATCCATCTCGTTGTTGATAAAATCTTTCGAAATTTCAGTCTCCAAATAGTCCAGTTATTTGAATAGATAACAGGTTGAGGGGGGGCAGACTGCCATCCTCATATAACAAATGAATACATTTATTATGCCAATCAATATGTATGTAGAAGAACTAGATAACATGTGTGTGTATTAGATTTAAGTACTACATGTTTACAAAACATAGTCCTTTCATTAATAATCAGTCAACTTAATCAATGTGAGATGATTTATAACTATCTTAGTGTACCTGTCATTACTATTATTTGGGAAAAATTATACCCTCATTTGGAATCTTCTGGGACAACGGAAAAGAGGAAGACCAAAGAACACATTACGCCGAGAAATAGAGACGGATATGAGAAGAATGAACAATGGTGGGATAGAACTAGAAAGGAAAGCCCAGGATAGAGTGGGTTGGAGAATGCTGGTCGGTGGCCTATGCTCCATTGGGAGTGACAGGTGTAAGGAATTAAGTAATTTTATTGCAGATAATTTAAAAATTTAAAATTGTTTAACCACTAAATATTGTTTATTTGAATATTTTCATTCCAATTTGTTGTATAGTGTATCTTATAATGCTAATTTATTCGTATTTATGATATCTATGTAACATTTTAAAAGTCAAGATTTTAAACAAAACTACCAAAATAAATAATAACTGTACGCCCAAGTCATGATCTGTGAAGTCAACCATAACGTGATAAATCACTAATATCCTTGAATAAATATGGCAGTAGACTATAAAATGACCGAATTTGAATGCATAAACCAATCGATTTAAGCTTAATAACTGGATGGTAGTGTAGTATTTGTCAGGAGGGGAGTCATTTAAGTTCAGTTCTCTGTAGGTTTTTGAGTACATACTATTAATTTGTTCCAAACTATTTTGAAACTAGTGTATGTTATTCGCTATTTTCCTACAGTTCCACAGCTATTGTCAGTTTAGGATGAAAGTTGTTTTAAAATTCCATACAATCTTTACAAATTCATTTTTTAAATTGAAAATAACCATTGCTTTTATTCCTATGATCATATAAATTTAGTTGAAACGACATTTAACAACTATTAAAATTAAAAGTGTAGACATCTGTAAACTCTAAAGAATTTCCTTAAAGCTACTTTAAGAAGACTAAATAACGTCAACCATACGTCCAGTTTTCCAGTCGGACACATAAAATTAAAGAAATTTCATGGTATAGACGTTACAGTTGGAACATGGGTACAGTGATATGAACTTATTTAAGATGTTTTAATAATTAGCATGGAATCTATATCTAACAATTTTGTCCTGTTAAATTCCTAAAAATAATATTAAAGACAAATACTAATATTTTAGTGTTGTTTGCAACAATGAGTATGAATTAGTCCCCCCCCTCAATTAAACCTTCAACAATGATTGCAATCGTGCTAAACGAATGAGAACAAGACTTGAACCTTATACGTACAAAGATATTCAAGTTATATAAAGTTGAGCATGAATTATTTGAATAAATGCTAAAATTAATAAAAGGTGAGGATGGCTCTTCATTTGTCAAATATATGTTAAACATTTTGTGGATTCCCGATATTTACAATCTTACTTTACAAATTCATCATTATCCCGGTTGACAAAATATGAAACAAAATAAAGACTTTGAAGTTAATTCATATGCTTTTGCATTTCTGAGGTAACATGTTCACTCATGTTGTGCTAATGTACATATACGTAATCCAATTTTCGGGTCTGGATATGACTTCAACTTCGTACCTACCTAACTTAATAAAAAACCAAAAATATGATTGATTGGGTGTGATTAGGATTTATAAGTAGATAATTTAATATTGGTGAATACTCGATGAACGAGTTAATGGATCTAACCTCAGTTCCGAATTCATTAGTATCAAATGTATCGGGTTCCTATTAGATCAGGAAATTTACCTTAGGAAAAAACAATCCTGTTAGTGCCTAACAGGTCAACCATTATACAACGAGATCAAGTTTGTATGGTATTTGTATTGGCACTGTTGTGATCAAACCGTGTCTGCAACATTCAAGTTCCAGAATACAATGGCATTACTAGGTGAAGTATTCTAGGATAGTTTGCAATAAAAAAACACTTCTGTCGCTGTTGACATATTCACAACACACTGTGCTGGTTTTAAGACATAAATATATTAGCACTGTATTCAGCTGTGTCGTTTGGTATACAAAATTGTTAATTCGCTTCATTAGTTGTGAATATTTATTTTAAGCAACTCTACTTCATCCAAGTAGTTGGGGCAAGTGATTTGAGCAGTCAGGTTGTATGAATTAAAACCTATTCAGGAGTACTACTGTGGTCTAACTGGTTAGTAATTACTCCCAGTCGTTGCGACTCTATTTCTTTTAGGTCCCGTTGTACTTGACTGTCATGTTTATTGAGCACAGAGTAATGATCATATGACCTGAAGCCTACATTTTCATACGAATATATTTACTATTAACAGACAACCCATATACCATGGATGATTCGATCAATCGCATTTTTGGCATGAAATTACCGCTATTCTGATCTTTGTTGCTGACTATCCTTTAACAGACCTCTATGAAACAGCTAGGCAGTGATCTCAATGTAAAATGCAAATATCTTATGCTGAGATGCCAAAATGATAAGGATACATTATTCAATACAAAATTTCATTCTGAAAATGATATGATTAGCCCCAGTATGTACAATGAATATAGCTTCAATTTTATGAGATCGCCAACTAATTACGGATAATTAAATGGCATAAAAAATGCAGATCAAGCACAATATTACCATTGAAGTGAGTCATACCATGTTAATAACTCCATATGTAAATGGTTTATTTATTGTCCGAATGTATGGTGTAAATGTCCTTTCATTTGAGGCATTGAATCCAGATGCATATACACATTGTATGTGCATGGACAATATACCTGTCCTCAACTTTTATGGTCAATGTAGTCTATGGGTCAAGGTTGTAACATGTGAATTCGTCGCCTCTATTGGATGTCAGCTAACAACTGAGCGTAATATGACAAGCTCAACTGACCAATCAGAGTGAGAGTAGACACATATAATGTTCATAGCATGAATTTCACGCTGACATTGTTCATGCCTAGGCTAGCATTGACATATCGTTACTGACTATAGGATTGTTTAGTCGGGCACATTTCAATTAAGTCTATTCCGGAATTATTTCTGATATCTTCGATACATGTAGTGTCCATGTGAAATTTTTCTCGGATTAAGTAATGTCTATATCATGTGCTGGATGCGGTGGTCCCATAGTAGAGAAAACTCTGTTAAATGCAATCGATCGGTTTTGGCACACTTCCTGTTTGAATTGTTCTTGTTGTGGTCTACGGCTTGATGAATTAGGACCTTCCGTTTTTGTTCGCTCAAATATGCTGTTATGTCGACAAGATTACCTTAAGTAAGTTTATCATCTAGATTATTAAGAATAACTTCACTAGTTTACCTATCCATCGTTATCTTTGTATCCGTTTTGTTGTGGCATGCTATAGTAACTAAGTTTTGCACCTTAATTTGTAGCGAATCTTGAACCATCTGGTTTAGCTCCAGATTATATTTAGTGATGTCATGGAGACCGATTCTTCATTCAGCCCTTGAGTAATATTAATAATGTAAATTTGACGGAGTAGTGACTGGCAAAGCGTTCGACTTTCAGTCTGATTCGAACTGCTCTATACTTCAGTTTGATCAAATGAGTAGCATTATTAGCTTTCATACGTACACTAGCCAAGAGTCAAGAACACAGATGTAACTGGTTGGTGAGTTAATAATAGTAATTAGTAATCTGATCGCAATGAAGCAAATGCATTCTTCCTGTGGGTTTAAAACGTCGTGTTATCCTACGAGTCGTATATTTTGATACGTCCTAACTTGTTTTAACTTTTGCTGGCTCACTAATATTAGTATCCTCTTTATTAGTTTGTCCAACTTCATGTTACTTTGCTATTTGCCTCTGTAAAATACCACCATTAAACATCATAAGTGTACAATCGATGAGTTGATAAACTCTCAGATCTAATTACTTCACATTTTGTGACGAAAAGATATAGATTTATATCACTTTTCAATGACAGAAAATTATTCGATTTGGTTGACTTTTTTCAATGTATTACTTCTTCTAGTGTTATATATTCATTTCATCTTCAAGTTTGTACACTCAACTTCAGGCAAAACCTTTTAAGGGTTAATGGAACTACACAACTCCAAACCAAATATTAGGTGATCTAATCAAAAACCTGTCGGTTGAATGTCTGTTGACTTAACCTGGAAGTATCGTCGCTATTTTTTTCTACAGAATATATCACTTCGAATCACGACTTTATTCCTACTTTTATTGTTATTGTAGCTATATTATCAGTTTCTGCATATTGTGCGTAACTGTCTTCGATGCTACATATTGGTTAAGCTTTTAGATCTGTCTATCAATTAAGGGACGAATATACTGCGCAGCAGTTCGTTCTGTTCTACTTTACAGCTGCAAGACGTGGTCATTAAGAGTAAGATATACTCTTGAGCTACTAGTATTTGATCACATGTCTTAGGAATATTGCTCGCAAGTGCTGGGATCGCCGGGTAAGTGATAGTGTGGTTAGATGGAGGATATTAGGGGATGATGGTTAGTCACTTGATGAGGTTGTAAATCTTCATTGACTGAGGTGGTTGGGCCACGTGTTACGTATGCCTGAACGCCGATTACCATGAATCGCAATGCTGACTGGTGTTGGAGACGGTTGGAAGAAAGTTAGGAGCGGCCAAACCAAAACGTGGCATCAGTGCTTGAAGTCACTAACTTCTGGTCTGAGCCATGTTGGTAGATGCAGACTACTTGGTTGGGGTCCGCGTGACGATCGTAACCAATGGTTGGAGACTCTTGGTGACATGGCTCAGAATCGATCACAATGGCATCGTTGTATAAACTCTTTGTCTCCCATTAAACTGAGATTAAAAATGCTTTATGTCTTTCTTTCTACGAATTAATTTTTTCTTCCTGTACTATATCCTTCTATGTAATCCTTTTTTTATATACTACTACCATTGAAGACTGCTGACAAAATGCAGTCTTTTGATAGCAACAATGCCAGAATGTTTGTAATGGGCTTCTCTTCCTCTAAATGCAAGTTGTTGCTTCAGGACTGGCCTGCGTCAACACCTGAACTAAGGATAGGGAGTGAAGTGGTCGAACGCGTCGACAACTTCACTTATCTTGGAAGTCTGATCAACCCTAATGGGCTGGTATCGGACGAAATCTCAGCACGGATTCGAAAAGCTCGTTTGGCTTTTGCCAACCTACGTCACCTTTGGCGAAGGCGAGACATCCGTCTATCAATAAAAGGACGAGTATACTGCGCGGCAGTCCGTTCTGTCTTACTTTACGGTAGCGAAACATGGCCATTAAGAGTAGAAGACACTCGTAAGCTACTAGTATTTGACCACAGATGCCTTAGAAATATTGCTGGCGTCTGTTGCGATCACCGGGTAAGTAATATTGAGGTTAGACGCAGGGTTTTAGGGAATGATGGTAAATCAGTTGATGAGGTTGTTAATCTTCATCGACTAAGATGGTTGGGCCACGTGTTACGTATGCCCGAACACCGATTACCACGACGTGCAATGTTATCCGGTATTGGAGATGGTTGGAAGAGAATTAGGGGCGGCCAAACTTAAACGTGGCATCAGTGCTTGAAGACACTAACCTCTAGTCTGAGCCATGTTAGTAAATGCAGACTACTTGGGTGGGGTTCGCGTGACTTTCGTAACCGATGATTGGAGACTCTTGGTGATATGGTTCAGAATCGATCACAATGGTGTAAGTGTATACACTCCCTGTCTTCCCTTAAACTAAGAGATTAAAATCACTTCATATCTTTCTTTCTACTAACTACTTCTTTCTTCCTGTACTGTATCCTTATATGCAATCTTTCTCCTATATATTACCACCTTTGACCTAACCACTCCTATGAATCCGGTGTTCATCTTGCTGTGTTAATGAGGTATGGCAACCTGGACCGATGCACATATGTGCCTGGTCCTACGTTGTAACTGACTGACTAGATTCAATTTATTTTCTACTTATGTCTCTATCGTTTAGAGTTGAATGTCAATCGTTTCATCTTATTCTTGTATTTTGCTATTTCGCATTTGCTAAGTAGAAATAAACAAAATTCTCTTCATATCGGAAAACTGATGAACGAAGGATTTTTTCCATTAAGTTCTCATCAGGTTCTACAGTTAAAAATCAGAAATACGATCAAACTCGCAATTAGGAGCTCGCTTATCGTATCTGGCTAAGTAGTCTGATTTGTAGTGAATTTAGCAATATTTTCATCCACTCTTAAAATATAACTTGCTTTCTTTGATATTAAATTAACGAGTTTATGATGACTCTTTAGCCGATGTTCTTAGAGTTTTTCATTTACTTTGGAATATTCAAATACCACTTATTGCTTTTGTTTAATTCCGGACTTACGATTTTATAACCAAGTTTCTTTTCTGTTTGGCATTAGTCATATTGTGGTAGTCGAAGATAACTTTAAATGATTTCATTTCACTGTCTCGTTGCACCATTTCTAAGGATTATTAACTAATTTCCAAAAAATAACTGTTCAAGCATTCAATCTTCCTGCTTCTGTTTGGGCATCCGGACAGTATCGTAGCCCACACATAAATTTGGCGCACTCTTGTACCACACATAAACCAATTGACTTATGTGGTGCATATGTATTCAGTTCCCTTTTCTACCAATATTTATGTTCAAATAAATAAATAATAAAAATAGATGAATCTTATAAATCACGGTATTGAGTGCCTGATATTATCACCAATCATCGGAAAAGCAATATGGCTCAGTAAAGTACACAATTGTTTTATGTGGTTCTGACTTACCACTGTCGACTACTAAAAGTTAAAAGTGCGGCTCAGAATCGTCTCTATTGGGTAACATTTTCTTGCCCATTCTCACATTTCTCCAACTTTCACTTAGTGTACGTAGATAGACAGCACACTTTGTAGTAGAAATTAATCAAATCCGTATATTACAAGTTTAAATCTGAATTCGTAGTTCGATTATATTTCGCTTTAACCAATCTTAAAATTAAACAGTTTCTATTGTTTGATCTCCGTAGTATACTACCGGATAATTTTATAATCGAGTCATATTTAGAGGCGCTTTGTGGTTACTCGATGGTCTTTATAGACCTCCAAGTTGTGCAAACTTATTTCCTCTAGATGTATCCCATCATATTTGAAGTTCAGCTCTATTAAACAACTGCACGGTTATTTTTAAAAAGTAATTTCATACTCGTTTGTTAATTTTTGTATAAAACCATCGGATTAACTATATACTCTATTTTGGTCTGACATACTCTTTTTGTAAATTAGTTTTCTCTTATTTTCTAATGAACAAGTTTAGCCTATTAATTATCCTTTCTTAATTAGCTTCTCGCATGGTTGCTTCTATGTACGTATGCTGTATACTGTCTTGTGCACATATAAACATGCTTAGGTAGTTACGCGTTGTTAATGTGTAAGTGACATACCTTTGTAGTTACGTTAATTAAGAAGCGTCTAACCTAAGTTGATACATAATGCTATTCCAACTCTTCTGTGCTATGGTATTGCAATATATATATATATATATATATATATATATAAACATTCCCTCAGTATCATACCACTTAATTTCATTGTATCCCCCCTTTTCTCTGGTCTTGTCACTTCCTCATCTCGTTTGTTTTTGATTTCTTTTTGTCATGTTTGTTACCACCAGACAAAAACCAAGTTAGAGAAATAGCGGAAAGAAGGTAAGTGATAGGACGAAAGTAATATTTCTGATGCAAAATATAATGGTGCCTAAAATTAGTTTTTTTTATCTAACTGTTTATTGGAAAACTGAATATAATAAATGGTAGAGGAAAACAAGGTAGATGCCAGTAAACAAATAAACTCATCACAAATAGTAATCATAGTCTACTAGCTAATTAACTTTTAGAAAACTCATTTAAACTTAATTTATACGTAAATTACTTATTTGTTTTCTATACATACAAGTTTGGTTGTCCGTATATACTTTATAGTATAGACATAATATGATTGTCATTTATAACACAAATTTTACCCACTAAACACTTGTTGGACTAAAACGTTTGAAGCTTTCGTTAGCCATATTTGTTTATTTGGAGTTTACCTTTTAAATGAACTGGCCGATTTCGCTTGTTAAGGTCTAGTTTTATTTGGAGGGAGTTCTCGAAATCAATTTGCTATTCTAATAACTTGATCTACTTTTGTATTCCAGTTTCCTTTCTACTGATATTCAATGAGTCCTTTTTGTTACGTATGCGTATTTAGTTTCTACTCCCGTTGTACATAAATTTCAAGTCTGTTAAAATTTATAATGGTTAAAATTAATTTCTATTTCACCTGACTAGTCATGTAATAGACTTTGAACCCCGACTACCAGAGCTAATGATTATTTTCCTAAACCGAAACGTATGGTTCAAGGAGACGACCAAATAGTTGAAGGATAGTTCGTAAAACAGATGAAAACTTCATATAGTAGCTAGAGCATTCAAATTTATTGTTGCAATAATTTTTGGATGTTCCCCTTTTGTTTTTGTAGACTGTTTGGCCTATCAGGAACATGCGCCAAATGTCGAGTTCAAATTCCTCCAGATGAATTGGTGATGAGATGTCAAGACAAAGTCTATCATGTGAACTGTTTTTGTTGTACTCACTGTCATTCTCTGTTGCACCCCGGTGATAAAGTGTGTTTTATGGATGGAAATTTATTTTGTGAGCATGAATTCCCTCATTTGTTTTCTGGGCCTCCCAAACTGACTTCACTAAGATTAACATCATCTTCTGCAAGTCCTTGTACTTCAAATGATTCTGATATTAGTCGTGGCCAAATGACCATTGAGTTACAAACAAAAATGAATGGTGCTTCATCTTCTAGATCTTTCAATATAAATCCCGCGTCTTTAGAGCAGCAACAACAACAGCCATCTGGTGCTTTGCCAAATAAACTCATATTTTCCCAATCCGATATTTTATCATCACTCAGTCCTCATCCATCCAGTCCAATTATGTCATTTCCTAATAACATGCAACCAAATCAAGATAATAATCAGCAACTTGTGCAACACGGGTTTTATGTTACAGACGTTGAGCAACCGTTCGGTGACACATCTAGTGTACAAAACTCATCCGAAAAACCTTTGAAATCATCAATGATTAACACGACAAATGAGACAACTAATGGTCGTAAAAAACAACAAAAAGTTAGTTAACTTGATAAGGTTTTATCTAGTATCACAAGATGTTTTCTTACAAAACAATAGCACAAAAGTCATTAATTCATACTTCCATTTAGATTGACAACTAGTTAATAGGAATTTATTAGTTTCAGTAAGTACAGTTACGATTAGGAATTGCATTCGTACAAACAAATTTTATAATTCTGTTTCTTTTTTATTCCAGCGTGTACAATTATGATCAAGTGGATTATAATAAACTAGCATATTGACACATCATTATACTATTGGATTGCGCTTTGAATTATAGAGGTCTGGATCGTAAATTTACCACTATCTATTTTCAATCAGTATACACACTCTGTAGTCTGTCTAATTCATCTTCGTGAAGAAGAATGAAATTCCAGCTTTACACATTTGTAATTAGGGGATTTAATTTAGTTTGACATTTTATGTAAGTAGAGGAAAATAACTAAATATTTCAAAACATATGTATCTAAATAATAAATAACTTAAGTTGGAAAAATCCTGTATAATTTACATATTTTGTGAGATGTGAGTTCATAACACACAACATCCGAAAATATGTTTTGATGATCAAAAAGCTGATATGATATCACAAACTCGTCGAAATCGTAAAGTTTTGACGATTTAATTCTACTTAACTGGTTCAGGTATATCATGTCTACTGCGAGATTAGATTGTTCTGACTTCGATACTATGCAAGATTGTATACTCAAATTATTCATGCTTCTAAATCTAAGGCATTAGTAATATTCTGTCTTGCCTCATTTCCAGCGATCATCCAACTAACATGTCAGCTTTATCTTAACAAACATACAAGCGAATAGTCATAATATTTTACAGGCTCATCGTAATATAAGCGTGGTCCTATATTTTGTAGGGATGAATTCCTTTCGAAAACCTACATTCACGGTAATCCGATAAGCGGAAGCACTCTTCGTAAAAGATGAACAAAAATAAAATAACCATTTTGCTACGAACGTACGAATTCAATCAATTGCTTGAGAACAATTCCAATTAACCATGAGAATGCATAAATGTCCCATAAAGTAACCATACCATGCAAGAGTTCTGAAGCTATCCTCTTGTTTATATTCTTGACTAATCGGAGTTTAGTCAAAGATATCAACAATGGAATAACCCAATAACCCTTAAAAAATAGATTAAATTAGTACCCATTGCACAATTGAGAGGTTATCTACACTTAGTAGCTAAGTGGATGTTGCATTGGCGTTTGAAGAAAAGGTACTTTGTTTGAATCATGAAGTGTACATAAACTATAGGGTGTAAGCACATCTAACTGACGAGTCCCAAATAGGACGAAACGCGCCTTGAATTCCACTGCTAGCCACAATCTGTTAGTATCAAACCATATGGTGATCAATAAAGAGGATACCTGGAAGTTAATAGCATTGCCACTCAATTCTGTTTGCGATCACCGTTGAATTTGCGTAAAATAATGGCGGAAGCCTGGATAATCTAGCATTAAAATCTTGACAGTTGCAAAAGTATGTGACTGATCTGCAAATTCTCAGTATCTTTATTATCTTTTATCTTCAGTTGATTGTGGAACCACTTTCAGAGCATTGACCTCAGAACAGTTATTTTTTTGTTAGTGAAATGGACTCTAATCTTTTTTTAGTTGGACACTTCAAAATTTATTGACTGACATCTAGTACGAAAGCTATCACGTAGTTTTAAAATACATTTCCATGTGAAAGACTGCGAATTAATTAGTGCATTTCTCGCTGATATTAATTGATGCTAAGATAGTCACAAGATTAATCAAGTTCTACTAGAAATGCCAAGAAATCTTCAGGAACGATAACTGCCCGCACATTTTCACGCAAGACCTTTGCTCTCTGGTTGACATTGCTCTTAGTTCGCTAAATTTCTATGTGGTTGGAATTCATTTTGCTACTATAGATACAATAGTTGTACTAACTCGTTCTGTGTTGCTTGTCCAACTTCAAACATCAAGTTCCCTGCAATCTGTTCTCTTTTCGTGTTAGCCGTCAGGGTTTAATGTGTCGTGTGTGAATAGCCGTTGTCGATTTTGATGATAACCTATCGTAGTAGAGTATCTTAATCGTTTTGTCCCTAAATCCGTAAACATTGTAGGCCCTTAATCAACACCAATAGCCAGAAACAACAATTAGAGATAAATTATCACTAAAGTATATTGAATCTTACGAATTTGGCTACTTCATTTACTCAGCATAGATTAAAATCCACTTGATTGGCCATCTTAAAACAAATATTTCGTCTACTACTGAATAAAGTTGGAATGGAAATCATCTGAAAATAATCAAAAGTTAATATAGAATAAATAGTCAATAATGTCACTCATACTGTTGATTATTTGCTAAACTGTAGTCCGTGTACTTCCTAACTCAAGTGGTCTGTTTGTGTCGAGAAGACAATCGATCGTAGTCTAAGGTTCAGTATTATATTATGTGTTCTTTCCGGTGTTTTCACTGTCACATAATTCTCTTACACCTACTTAAGCACCTAGATTATTAACTCTTATAATATTTCGGTTTTACACATATTTTCTCCGAATTCATCATACCAAAATTAATAGGTCTGGGATTTTGAAACAGCGTTACGATTTTTTACGGTGTATCTAGGTCATTTTTGTTGCTAAAGCTCGATTTGTATTTTATAATGTTTACTTGACTTCTTTCTTTACTTATAGAAAGTAGATAACCGTCGTTGCCCTGCGCTCCGTGTTTGTTGAGCTTGAAAGACTATATTGTGATTGGTCCTTTAGAACCACAATTCTTTTCGCCAATTTTTCAAAATTTTCTTAATGTAAGAATTGAACGTTTATCTTTTTCTGTTTCGTTTTTGTAATAAAAACTTCACCAGACTATTTGGAAATATGTACTATCAATTAAGACGTTCAATATTCATTATTCTTTGCTATAACAGTTTGTACAAATATTTTTTGTTCTATCTTTAATCCTGTTCAGATAAATAAGTGCTTAAATCTCATGTTTTAGAGAACTGACATTTTGTCGTGCTTTGCGTTCATTGGGAGGGATCATCTTCATGCATCTTAAGAAAACATGTTTTTCGTTTGTACTTGACATTTACGTATCATAGTACCGCTAAAGTAATAAGATTTTGCCAATTCTTAAAATCCTTTAATTAATACTTGTCGTTATAGCACAAATAGTGTCATTCTGTGAGAGGATTTTATCTTCTACCTCACCGGGTGTCTGTTCAGTGTATCTTAATGCATGACAAGTGATTGCATTTACCCAATCCTTAGAATTGTCGCTAAATTGAATTCTTCAATCTTAACGTATTCTTATTACCAAGGTTCCTCACAGTTTGACAGTATATAGTCTCCATCGAAAATTTGCCGTCAGAATTAACTAATTTAGAAACTGTATATCACGGTGGTGTTGTAATTATCTATGAGTGTAGATGGTGTTGTCAAATAGCTCGTATGTGACATTTGTTCAGTAAACATCAATTGTCGTGCTTCGGAATTTCCAACTTAGAAAGATTGTCGAATCTGTTATTCCTTTAAGGAAGTCAAGTTTCGAAAACCAGTATTTGTCCTACGAGATTCTTCTGAGATAAAGCAACATCTATGGAGTAATATACGTAACCATGGTATGGTTCAAATGGCCCGGTCTATTGGTTTACTTCCCAGGCTCTTCGTATATATGATTATTATGTATCTAATACGGTCGTAAATTTGATTGCATCGTAATATTTAATCGTTCATTCAACAAGTGATGGTAATATAAAATATGTTTCACTAGACTCCAAGTGTCAGGATTAAAGTAACCATAAGTTTGATAACATTCTGTATTGATGTATGGGACCCTAATTAATTAATGTAATAAGAATAATTGGACGTTTGTTGTAATCTGCCTGCGATACTTTTAAGCAAGAGTCAACTAGGCTACACGTCACACATGCAGTTGTTTAGAAGTAGAAATGCACTTGCTAATTTCCTGATTTTCTTAACAAGAGTTTTCACTAAGACAAATGGAATCCGGCTACGATCTAATAGTCAACTTTGCAGAACAGACCCATATAGTTACAAGTGATTAATCACTGGGTGGTGATCAATGGCATGTGTGTCAGGCTCTATCGACCAAGTTGCAATGTGGTCACTAGCCTAAGTGACTCGACATTGCGTGCACCATGTTGAGATAAGGTATACATGTGACCTTGAGGGAATTGATGCTTACTGACGGATTCGATCCCATATCACCCAGTCTCAGTCAGGCGTTACCACTGGGTTATTCGGGCCGCGTCTGACCTGTACTAAGAAGGACTCGACACACATGACATTGATCACCACCCAGTGACCAATCAATTTTGAATACATCTCAATCCTGCAGGAGGTCAGTCGCAGCCCTGGTAGCCCAGTGGTAACGTCTCAGACCGTGAAGCTGGGTGATATGGGATCGAATCCGTCAGGGAGCATCAGTCCCCTCAAGATCACAGGCACACCTTGCTGGCGAGTTCCAAATAGCCTGAAACCTAGGTCCAGGGTTTCCTGTCGATTACCTCCAACGTCTTGTCAAGCTCATAGATTCTTACTAAGCGACACTAAATGGTCTAGCTCTTATGACCTATCTATATACGAAATTGAAACTGTTATGATAAGAATTTAACTAAAAATTACTGCTGGTATTTTACGGCCTAATATTCATATACAGTACTCCCAAATAATAATCTTTTGAGTGAATCCAGGTTGTTAAGCAGTTGAAATCTAAGAAAAAATTAAATCATCCTAATACGGATAAAAACGTTGAAATGGTTAACAACAGAGTACGTGAAATAAAAGTGGGTTAGAGAAGAAACCAATTATATCATTGAAGAATAAATATAGTTCGGTGGAATAAATTTTCTTTTTGATGTGATATTTACTAAAGTCACAATCGTATTTAAAGTGATTTCCGAACACCGATATAATGTTTTCCATTGTTCAAAAGGCCACCACGATTGTATGGTTTCAGCAAATCTTGGAGTGAAAATCCCATGTACTGAGTTATTTGTATAAAGTAAAACTGGAAAATATGCTTCGAACTAACTAAAATACAAAGTAAAATTTTAAGCTTTCATGTTTCAATAGAAATGGGAGCTGATTGTAATTAACAAAATAAATGACTAATAAAACCTGTTTTTGAAGAACTATTGCCTAATGATGATCAGTACAGACCATTGAAATCCAAGGATTTAATGATACCAGTTAGGATTTGACCAAAATGGAATCAATGTTACAGGATTCATCATAATACCCACAAAAGCGCTTGATGTGACTCAAGTCATGAAATGAAATAATCTAACCATTCTTAACATTCATCCATTAAAACGTTTGCTTTTATCCTGGTGATACCAAATTGTTGGAGGAGTGTGAAGAGAGGTGTATGTTTGAGTATATGGAATAGATGAGAAATAAAAATGTTAGTTGGCGACTTATTGAACATGGAATACACTTTTAATGACTAGAACAATCACTAACAAATTGCAACGACGCAAGGGTGATGTGGAAATAATCTGACAGTTAAAACAATCAGTTATCATATAGGTTAAAAGTTCCTAATAAATTTGACTGCAGATTGAATAATAGCTAAACATGAATTTCCGATAAGTGAACATTTGATAGTTGTTTCCATTTGTTATACTATTTCTCAGTGAAACTTGTCAACAACTTTTCAAAATAAAAAGGATCAAGGGCCCTTAAATTTAATATACATAACAGTAAGCTTTTAATTGTAGGTCATGATCCCAGTTAAACATATGAAATAATGAATACTATTTTAAATTTCTGAAATTACATCAACAGAACTTCTACACTCAATAGGACACATTGAAATGGCGGTATAATGTATGGCACTCAAGAATCTACTAGTACTGCGAAAAAAGTATATCCAAGTGTGATAAAAATTCAGTTATCAGAAACAACAGTGAGTATTTCATTTAAGATAAGATATCTGAATACGGTTGGTAACGCGTTGAGGATTTGAAGCATAAGGTACCGAGTTCGAATTTAAGTGAGCTCGTCAGAATCGAAATAAAGTTACATACATCTAATAAGTTTCAAATAGGTTGAAATACGCATTCTAGATACTACTGCTAAACACATACGAATAAACTGAAATAGTATATCATATTTTGTACCAGCGTGAATTCACAAAAACCATGTCGAAACCAATGCCTGAATTAGTACAGCATAAATTGATCTACAGAAATCCATTAATCAAAACAGAAAAAAAGAGAGTTCATACTGATAGTATTGAATACAGGTCGAGACACTCTTCATCAGATGATCTTCCTGAAAACTTGTGAAACACATTTACGTAACATTTATTCATAATGATAGTTACTGAAGTGAATAATTATTTATTTCACCATTAACAACAATGTGATTTGTCTTCTTACATAAACCTAAATATCATCATCAGTTGTAATTAATATTGTTTAATTTATTAGTCAAAATTCTGTTTATTTTAAGGACTAGTGATTATTCTGTTCCGTTTTTTTAAAGTTGCTACCTAACTGATATATTTCTTCATTCGGATATTTGACTTTTACATTACTGTGCTATTTAATATGTAAACGGTAAAACTAATAACATTTCTTCTTTTGATGAATCTTCTTAATAAGTTTTCTTTTATTTGTATTCTTAGATGAAAATAATACACATTGGTCATTCTGTGTATAACTAAATATACAGAAATTCTCATGATTTATATTTATTATATTAATTAGTTTTTGACGTACTGGTTTTTTGACAACACAAGTTTATTCAGATATAATTCCATAAAAATAATGATAAACTATACATTCGAGTAATTATAATTATGATTATTTGAATTTCGATGAAATCAGTATTCTATCAATTTTATCTACAATTTTCATCATGCAATTTATATTACTTGGATAATCATTTGATATGAAATATATACTATTAGTGTCATTGATATCATTAACAGATCTTAGCTAGACCACCCTTGAAAAGTTGGAATCATTCGACGGTCGTTTTGTCTTGGTGTGGAATTCCTCAAAAGTACACATCTAAGGACCCGAATGCCGATATCAAATACATGACCTTAAGCCTCGCACGTAAACGTCCAACCATTAGATCACTGAATCAGTACCCAACGGTGTTGCGCAACCGTCTTTCAGTGGTGGTCTAACTTAGGTCAGTTCATGATTCTAATCAAATTCTTGTTAGATGTCATTAATCATCGATTGACGTGAACTAAATTGACCTGACCGTGTATACATTATATAAGGAAAAACTGAATTTTTATTATGAACTGCTACTCAACAACAGATGACGCATATGCGATGAAGTTACCCGTTGATTAGCCTTAAAATAATTTTCTATTCACAGCTCTCACATTACAACTCAATGTAAGTGAGAAGAAAATGTGTGGGGTTCTTCAGACGAAATGTAGGTCGAAATCGATGTCTCGATATACTGATTTTTATAGATTTGTTTTTACATTGATTTATAGTCAAATTTTGAACAAACTTTAACTGAATAGTGTTATGTCTTTTGGTCCTGTTAATTATCACGTGACTTATCGCCAATTAGAACACCGACTTATTGACCAGACTAATGACGCATAAACCAGTACGAACAGCCTAGAGTCACTGCTAGTTCTTATTGGACTTTCGAGATAATCACTTTTCGCCTAATCCAGCACGTTCAGCTCAGAATACCAATATCAGCCTCTGTTATATGAATCATGTATTTCAGAAGTACTTGGTTTATATACAAGCAAACCAGAAGCATCATGCCATAAAATAGAAAATGACAATTTTAAATGATCGAGCCAAAAAGTGGATGTGACTGTGAGAGACTGTAACTAATAAATTGGGAATAACTTGAGAATAGTAAATCGTATAATAGTAGTCAATAAGTCAAACGAAAGCTTATAATAAAAAGAATATTAATATACATATAACATAGTTAACTAACGGCTATACAATAAGAATACATAAAATAAAAGTCCATAAATATATCCTGGCAGTTACCACGCATTATTCTTCATCCGGGCATAACAAATACCACTTACCAGTGGTTAATCAAAGAATTATTGTATGAAATGAATTTTAGAATAATGTGTATTCAAAATATCGCTAAAAAGCGCACTCAAGATTTATTAGATTACATGCTTGAATTCAGCCTTTACAAAAACATCCAACATACAACTTTGTACTTGAACCACCTTTGCTAAATGTCTTTTCACAGTTAATCTTCGTGAATGCAGTACTTATCTTTGGACAACAAAGAATAAG